TTATATTATTCTAGGTCATACTACCATACACACTCATTTTGGAGTGTATACCATACATAAGTTATATCCTAATTAAATCTTTTAAGTTATAACTAAAAAATAATAAAGAGTCATAGCCACATCACATAAGATATAATCAAAGACTTTTTAAAAATAATAATAATAATAAGGCATAATCAACATCACAACAAGTCATAACTAACGCTATAACAAATTATAATCAAGTTTTAACTAACATCACAATAGGTGATAATCAAATATCACAAATGTCATAATTGATACATATGATACACGCTCCAAAATGATATGTGTATTACAAAATTCCCTTACTATCCTATTATTTTTCTATTCATTTAATTTCAGATTCCATAATTTAAAATCTATAGCTATCCAAACTAACCTTATAATTTTACAAAGGATTTAGCTTGTTTCTAGTTGGCGTTTTGTTGGACTTCTGTAGGCTTACTACGGAGTCCACATGAATGATCCAAACTGTTAATGTGTAGGACTTATTAAGTATTTTATCCATATAAAAAATCACGTTAATCGGATATCAATAACTATTTGATCAAATCACATTTGTGTTAACAATTTATTTTTCAAATTATAGTTACTGTTAACACAAATTTAATCTGATCAAGTGGCTATCGATATCTAATTAACATGATCTTTTTATAAGGATAAAATACTCGATGAACCCTAAATATTGAATGATTTAGATAATCGATATGATAAACTCATAAAACTTTACGCTATACTCCAATCCAATTTCAAATTAGGGGAGAAGTCTGGACCTTTTAGAAACAATGGAAATGTAAGAGCACTTCATTTTGGTTTTTTTATCGTTGCACAATCCACCCAACCCCAATCCACCTAGTCAGATTTGTTTTAGCCTTGGTCCAACACGGCAAGATTTATCAACGAAACACCCTCTTCTTTTTTTTCAATTACACAAACAAAAAAAATTATTAAATTATTCTTACAAAGTATTATGATACTTAGGCCTCTTTTGGCCGCTTTGTTTATAAATTAGTTATTGATTTAAATGATTATTAGCCTATCACCCGTGCTATGCACGGGATAATTATAAATATTTATATTTTTTTTAATTTTTTTAATATATAAATTATGTTTTTAAAGATTTTTTTATAAAAAAAATTTAATAATCTTATCACTAACCATAGTGTACAGAAGAAATTAAAAATGTTACTACAGTAACTATGCACAAGCTGTATCTATAATTATTTGTGTGAGGGGATTTTAAATGCTAATGAGGGATTTTGACCAAATCAATAAATGCAGGCATATGGATTGGAAAAAGTTAATAAATGCTGATCAGACGATTTTGACCAAATCAATAAATGCTGAGTTTTTCTTTTTAATAAAAAATTTAGAAAATTAAGATTGAGAGATTGGAGCTCCCATAAGGCTTGGGGTTTAGTTTAGAAAATTAAGATTGAGAGATTGGAGCTCCCATAAGGCTTGGGGTTTAGAAACTCCATTTTCCTTAATATATTTACAATTATCTATACATGTGAATTGCGATTTTTAAATGTCTTTTTTTTTAAAAATATCTTCTTTTTTTTCCTTTTTTATATTATATTAAATTTTAATATTTTGATAATAATCATATGTGTTGGATTTTTCAAGAAATTAAATGTCTTCTTTTTTTATTATATTATATTAAAGTTTAATATTTTGATAATAATCATATGTGTTGGACTTTTCAAGATTTAATAAATGTTGATCAAGGGATTTTGACCAAATCAATAAATGCTGAGTTTTTTTTAAAATAAAAAATAAAAAATATAGAAAATTCAAATTGAGATATTGAAACTCCCACAAGCCTTGAGGGTTAAAAATCCTCTTTTACTTTTATTTAATATATAGTATAGATAGATAAATATATATATATATATATATTCTAAACTATTGAATTGTTAGCATTTGCCTCTATTTAAATAACCATAGCACAATAAAGCTATGGAGGCGTTAGGTCTCTCCATAGTGAGCTAATATGCCCCTTCTGTCTTCAAGGCTTCGTTGGAAAAGCTAAAGACTCCATTGGAAATTTCAGACTTAAATTTAAGATTAATGTTTTGGAGCTCGAAAGCTCGAAAATTATAAATACATTTCAGAATATTTATTTAAAATATAAATTGTCGTTTATAATTTATAAAATTATAAATATTTTTTTCTTATAATTTTTTATTTAACAGAATTAAATTTTTTAAAAAATCATAATTACTCTCCTATACAATAATAAAATTACTTAAATTATGAATTAAAACATATTTTTAACATCATTAAAAATTATTAATTAACTTGATAATATATTAATAAAATGAGTGATTTGTTATAAAATTAAAAATTTCTGGAGTGAAATATAATTTTCAAAACTATGCGAGACAATTTATATTTTAATCAAATATCAAAAAAATGTATTTATAATTTACCCATTTAAAATTAAATTTATTCACTCCTTGAGACTTCGATTAAACCACGGTGCTTCATTCACACTCCTTGAGACTTGGATTGAACCATGGTCCTTCATTCACATGTTGAAACTTCCAGTGCAGCACCGCCTCGTCTTTTGTGCTTCGTTGTGTTTACAATTTTTTTAGTTGGAAAATTTTAAATATATATAAAATTTATAAAAAAAAATTGATAAAAATAATACGTAAATATCATTATTATAATGATATTTTGTTTTCTAGTGAAAAGTTTAAAATAAATCAAATTGTTATGTATGAAAATTATATATAAATAAAAAATTTATATAACGTTACACTCTTTTTAGATGGAGAGATTTGGTTAATAGTATGACTTATCTTTTTTTATTTTTTCATGTTAATATATCTTTTTAATTTTTTATCTTTTCTCCATTTGTTTATATTCATTTCTCTGCTAAATTAAGTAGAAAATGAACTAACTAAATAAGGGTATTTTAGTAATTTAATCATTACATTTAACAGTGATAATCACTTATATTTGAAAAGATAAAAGGGGTGCAGTGTGATTTTAATAGTATTCAGGGGGTTTACTGTAATTTAATTATTAAAAAATTGGAGGCAGACAAAAACATGAAAAGTAAAAAGGAAATCTATTAGAAAATCATAGATTAATAAATAAAAATTTGTTCTCTATTTTCATTTTCATGTTGCTCATTCTAAACAATGTATTTAAAAAATTATCTTTTCTATTTTTAATTAAAAAAATAGAAAATCTTATTATTTAAATTAGATATACCGTTCGGAATTGATTTTTGACAACGTGACTCGGTAAACTAACAACATTATTACAAATTTAGATTTTTAAACTTAGAATTTATTTAGAAAAAGATATTGACAATTTAAATTCATTTTATTCATAAACTCCCTAATATAAAAATACATATTCAGAATAAATTATAGATTGATAAGGGGGGGGTCCATAATATTTTTTATAAATTAATAACCAAAAAATGAGGTACGGACAAAGAAGCTGCTATGGCTTAAAAAATGATAACAGAAATATACAAATGCTCTACCAAACAAATCAAACCATATATGTATATTACATATGAACCAATAAATATAAAACAAATATGTGATTAAATAATGTTTTTAACATAAACATGTACATAATCACTCTCATATCATTCCTCTCTGGAACTAACTAAAAAAAAGAATAAAAAATCCTTCATCACACTCTAACAAATAATCCCAAATAATTCCACATATATATGTATGTTTGTTTTAAGAATCGGAGATCTAGTGCTTCATGAGCGCGAGAAGAGACAAAACAATCGAAGAGAAGACGATAGCTGCAGATATCGGCAATGAGTAAGCAAATCCAGCGTCCATTGACGGTGACGGTGCTGGAGCCATTTCGAAGTCTTGCGACGATCCAACAACAGAGAAGATAGCGATGACCAAGAAAACTGTCAAAGCCTTGAATAAGCTCAATTGGGCCATTGTAGATCAGAGAGAGAGAGAGGGAGAGAGAGTGTTTCTCTATGGAGATTGAATTTGAAACAGAAGAGATAGTAACAGTAGTGATGCTTGTAATAGGATGGAAGATAGTGAGGCAAGAGGGAGATATATATAGGAGAGGGATTTTCAAAGTCGGGTTTAGATTTTTGAAAAGACTCAAATTAAATGATGAGTGGAATTTTTTTTTTATTTGGAAAAAAAAAAATTAAAAATTAAGATTTGAATATCGAAGTTAGTAGGATTTAGATTTTCAAAATAGGGTTTAGGTTTTCAAGAAGGCTCAAATTAAATGATGGATGGAGGTTTGTTTTTTTTAAAAAAAAAAAATCAAAAAATCAGAAAATTAGGATTGGTATATTAGAGCTCTTACAGGCCTTGGGGGTTAAAAACCCCCCTTTTACTTAATATATAGTATAGATTGCTTCGTAGCTCGAAAGGGGTGGCTCGAAAATGGCCCGAAAAACACTATTTTCTCTCTCTTTCCTATCTCTTTGCTCTGCTCAGTCCGTTTAGTAGCTCGAATGTAATGAGGCTCGAATGACCTGATTTCTATGTACACCCCCATATTCCTTGCACACCTCATCTCTGTTCAGCTAGACCTTTCATTTCAAAAAAAAAAAAGAAAAAAAAAAGAAATAACAGAGAGTAGAGAGAGAGGAGAACTGGGTAACAGAGAGACCAATTACAAAACCATGTTCAAGTTGCTCTTCCAACTTTCAACACACATTTAAAATCAGATTTACAGACTTCACAACATTTACAGATTTATGTAACAAAGTTTTAACAGATTTTTGACAGAATTTTAACAGATTTATAATTTTTAATAGATTTTTAACAGATTTACAGATTTGTCATCCCTGTTTCGCTGTTGTAGGCCGTTGTTCGTCCTCCATCGTTCGCTGTCATAGGCCGTCGTTCGTCCTCCGTCATCGTTCGTTCTCCTTCCGCGATCAGAAGGTTTAACAGAGATGAGAGGTTACTCGGTCTCCTCACTCTCCACTCTCTGTTCTTTCTTTCCTTCCTTCCTTTTTTTTTTAATATTTGAAATTAAAGGTCTGGTGTGGCCGAACAAAGCTGGGGGTGTATAAGGAATCTGGGGGAGTACAAAGAAATCGGGCCATTTGAGTTGCTTAATTCGAGCTACCAAGCAATAATCTTGCTCTGCTGTCATTTCCTCTCCTCTCTTGTACTGTCTATAAGTGAAAAACACTATCTCTGTTCCCTTATCCCTCTCATTCCCCAGATCTGTCACCCCTTTCATCTCTGTAAGACCTTCCGATCGCTCGCTGATAGAGGAGAACGACGGACTGAGAACGGCAGACTAATTTGGAGAGCTGTCAATGGGTTTCTCTGGTTCCTAATTAGCTTAATGACATGTGAATGGGTTAGAAGCCTTGGCCATACTATGTTCATGGTTCCAAATTTATTTAGCCTATGAGCAAGGATCCTCTAGAGTTTTTTTTTTTCTCCTAAAGTTTCCTAGAGTAGTGCATTGTGTGGTTGAGATTTAATGATAAGTCACATCAAATTTTCAACATTAAATCTCAACCACACAATACACCACTTTAGGAAACTTTAGGAAAAAAATATTCTAGAGGATCCTTGGTGCTAAAGAACAACATATTTCTCTCTCTCTCTCTCTCTCTATGTTAACAATTATTCATTCCAAGAATAAATACAAAGGCTATAACCCAAACACTCTACCTAAAAGTGCCTCATTATTATTCAATTTCCATATTGGCAATTCTTCAAACACCTACCATATAAGCTCAGATTTGGGTTTTATTTTCAAATATATACATATATACATACATACATATATACATGGATATGCGTATATATATGTTGTCGGTGTTTGTGTGCGAATTTGTGTTTGTATGTGTGCTATAGATATTCACCTGTTGGCAAGGGGATTCTCGCTACTGCAAACAATTACGCGTGCTTGATCTTCATGCCAGATCGAGCGAGCTAGTACAGCAGGCAGCTATATGCTTCAAACCAACTCGGACTGGTGTGCATCGCTTCTTTTTTTATCAACAATTTTCTAACTCGTGCAACTTGAAGTTTATAGCAGTAACTTTTGAATAAAACTCATTAGATTATGCTTCAAACTAACTCCTCTCTTTACTCTCTGAACAATGCAATCGGCGCTAATGGGGTCCTCTCTCTCTCTACTCTGTTTTTTTCTTTTTTTTTTTAATTTTTATTTCAAATGAAATGTGTGATCTGGGTGAAAACAGAGATGGCCTCTACAAAGAAATGGGGGTGGACAAAGAGCCCATTCGAGCTTGTCATTTTCGAGCTTCGAATTGCAACTGTATTTAAATTATATTACATATTTACTTTTCAATACGTCTTTTTATAATAAATAAAAAAAAATTGATTTATAGAGCATATATAAAACACCCCTCATTAGTTTAATTTTATAGTAATATGATATGTACCACACTCGTTTGTAAAGAAAGTTAATAATACATTTTTATTTATGTAGTATTACTTTTATTTTAAATAAAAAAAATGTTGTAAATAACTTAATGGGTAAATTATAATTATCTCTCTTGAAATTTCAATAAATATAGAGACCTCTCCTATAATTTTAATAATTATAGAAACCTTTCTTATTTTAACTGACAATATCAAGATTCTCCCATTTTTTGATTGCCATTCACTCAACTAACATAAGCTGTTGATGTCATTAAAGATAGATACTAAAATGCCCATAATGGCCTCAAGTGTCTTGAACCCATCTATATATATCAACTAGGGATAACCTATGCCTGAAGGCATGGTCAATAATTTTTTTGGTACCACATGTCCTGCTACGGAATTCAATTGTAATAAATCAATTTAAAATGATATATCACTCCAGTTTAATGCTTCACAAATAAAAATTTGAAATTGTTTCTACATAGTAAACTGGCAAAAACATTCATAAATTTCAAATAACAAACTTCAAAATTACAGTCCAAATAATGAATTTTATATTACAGTGTAGCATAAGCAAAGAATAGAATCTAAAAATATTTGCTAAAATTCAAGTCCAAACAACAAATTTTAGAATTCAATCCACATCAAAATGACACATGTATAGCAAACCTTAAATAAAAAAATGTTACTGAATTAGTGTCATAACTGGTAGCCTTTTCACTTTATCAAATTTCAATACCTTCAAGAAAAGGTGAACGAATATTTTGGTACAAAAGAGTAATCATCCTATCTAACTAAAAATAATAATAATTAATCATCCAGTTTAGAATGAGAGCTAACCAACTACACACATAAAGAGAAACAACATAACCCAACATTTCTAATACGTATTAGCTACCTGCAACAAAATCACTCGCTTAAATTCACTTTAAAAAGCCAATAGCTATGAGAAATCGCATCAAAATACATATGAGAAATCAACAAAATGATTCTTTAAAAGTAACTTTAATTTGACAACAAAATGAACTCATTGCAGTAATAAAAATAATTTGAAGAACAATAACAAATGCATGAATAGCTTAATATAATATTATTGAATCAGATGATTTTACGGTTTCAATTTGAACAATACCAAAAAAACTCAACAAACCCATGTTTAAGAGTGATAATTGCATGTTTCACAATTTTCTGCAATGACATTGTCATAGTAATGAGAATAAAGGCTGGGTTTAATTTGGTTTGGTTTGGTTTGAACATTGTCATAGCAACAAATAATCTTCTTTCAATTTGTTTTGTAATTAATCCCCTTCTTTCAGCACAAAATTCATGTACTTCTCTGATAGCTCTGAATATATTACTGGTAAGCATAATTCTGACCCGATCATTGGCTGAAACACATGAAAAATAGCATTGAGTGAAGATTCTAAACATGAATGTAAGAGAGAAGTTTACACAGGTTTTACATAGTGAAACCTATCAATAAAATGACAACTCTTGTATAGAAGTCTTCCTAATTGAACCGGGGAGCAAATTTCAACAATAGCAAAAATATGAATTAGGCAAACCTCTCCAAAAAACTTTGATTTAGATAATGAATTGCTACAGTGAAGCAAACATAGAACATGCATTGATGAACTCGCCATTTTTCCAATTATCTAAGCTCTGTAAATAGATCAAATAATAAAAATAAAATTAAAAAGCCCTAAAAAAACACAAACTATTCATCGCAAAATTCACGAAAAAATCAAAAATTTGTGTCATTACTATTATAAAACACAATATTTGTAATCTTTGAAAGACATGATGAGGCCACAATTTTAAATTCCCAACAACGCATGAAGCAACACATGACAAATTAATTGAGAAAAAAAAAATAGAGATGATATGAAATGCATAGCTTGTATTGGCCACAGCAAACACTAAAACTAATTTGGAAGGAAAAAATGAATCTGAACAATAATCCCGCAAGCAAGATTAGTTTTTTACTTTGATATAAAGGACCAATCATCACTTCACAAATAAAATCAAATGTTTTACGTAGAAACAAAATGAAGATGCCATCTAAGTTTGAATGAGACATGAGAAATTGCCCTTTTACTCATAAAGACTTCAAAACAATATTTAAGTGATTGCTATCATAAAAAAGAATCTCATGGATGACTAAATTAGTGCATCAAATCTTTAGTTAGTGTATGGATATTACTCAGTACAACTGTATCAAATTATTCTCCCATTTTCTAATTTCTTGTATTTTGTCTTCTAGAAAATGAATTGCCTCCCTAAACATTTAGAGTTTGCACGTGCTTTTTATGGTTCAAGCCATCCCCAAACCCATCCAGAGAATAAAAAAAATTACCAAGATAAAATGTGGGAAAGTGAACCACAATATAGCTAAAACCAAAGCAACTAAAACCAGTTAATAAAGATATTCAATCTTTTGACCATACGCCTAAACTGAGACTTGAAGCAGCAAAAGAGCTATACATAACCATAAAGAAAAGGACAATCAAAATACAACTAAATTATGTACAAAACACAATCCCAAAGACAAAAACTCTCAACGAAATTCACAAAAAATTGCCATTATCATCACTTGCAAAGAGGTTGTGTGTGTGTGTGTGTGTGTGTGTGTGAGAGAGAGAGAGAGAGAGAGAGAGAGAGAGAGAGAGAGAGAGAGTAAAACTAAGTAGAGCTCTTTCCGGTCTTCAAATTATGTTGTAACAACACTAACTTTTAAGGTAATCCCACTTACATCAAAACCAATAAAGCTCTTCTCCTCATTCAAATCTAGGAATTCAAACTAAGTAGAGCTCTTTTCGGTCTTCAAATTATGTTCTAAAGAAACCAACTTTTAAGGGAGAAAGAGACATTTGTGATAGATAGAGGTACTGGTAAGCAAGAACTAGAGGTCTAGCATCAACACACATTTTGTTCAACTTATACTTTTAACCGTCAGATGTTGATTAGGATTGATCTCAACCATTAAAAACAATTGTATCTCTAAGACAATTATAGGACATTTTCAAAAACCCTTGTGGTTTATTATATAGATAAGTGGATTTTCATTTTTGTTTTGTGGCCTGTCGAAATATATAACCCACTTTGAAATCAACCATCAAAAGTATTCTTACGCAATAACAACTTTTATTGCATCAACAAAGAAGCCATTGTAAAGGGCTTTGGATCAAGAGCTAGTGGGGATTGGTATATGTATGTATATACAACTATTTATAACAATTGCAAAAACTAAAGTCATCAAACACAAATAAAAAGTTCAATTTCAGGTTCTAACCACATTAAATCTTAACTCTTAAACATGATTTCAGAAGTTCAACTTTTAGCCTCTAAACAGTTAATAGAACATTTAGAAAAATTGATCCAGCAAATATGATTAATTTCTAGCCAATAAAAAAATTTCTGAACATAAAATTTTGCATGTAGCATAAATATTAACTATCCAGTTCATACTAATATTTTTGCCAACATACATTTGTAATCATTTTAACTTATATCTCATTTTTTAAACTAAATTAAATCCATTAATTTAATTGCAGACCATTTCCCGCTATCGTATCCTCCATATCTTTCCCTCACTGTTCTATTCATTTGTTTGCACTTTTTTTTTTCTCTCTATACCTCCATTTCCCGACATCCCACAGCCTCATTGCACAACCAAACCCTTTCTCCGCTTTTTGTTTAAGTTCTCTCTCATCCATGACATACCAATGCCATGAAAATGCATTTTCAAAAGTAGACCAACTAATATACTTCAAACAAAAGTAGCTCTTTGAGTTGAAGCTTAAGGTGTTTAAATTTGGATTGAAGTTTTTTCATCGTCATGATCAATCTAATTTTAAAATGCTTATATTATCCAAAATAATGTGCGCAAGATAAAAAATCAACGCAATTTCGTTATCATGAAAGAGTAAAATATGAACAATTTATCAAATAAAATAGTACTCAAGACCTAAAAAATGTATTTATGTAAGAAAAACATAATAATTGCTCCAATTATACATTGAGTATCAAACCGAGAAGCTGCATTCTGGAAGAAAAAAAAAATGAAGACGAGGTTACTTTGTGCCTTATGTTAGTGACCACTGAAATTGAATGTCAACCGCAAACTAAATTGATCTAGACGTAAACCGTATTGCACAACCACCAACCTCACTGTATTCCCCTCCGAGAATATCATTTTAAATTTAGATAGGAGTTTAAAAAGGAAAAAGAAAAAATGAGGGAAATATAAAGTTATTATAATTCAAACACAACCTTACATACGTAAGCAAAATTATTTTTGTTGACGAAATGGTACTAATACATGTTTTATAGAGGGACCAATTTGAGAGAGAGAATAGACAAATGCATGCTCTTTACAACTATTAATTAGTAAGCAAATTGATACGTACGCAGTTCCCCTCATATATTTTTTGCCACTAGGAATCCTTAAACCAGTTAATTGATCAAATGTAAAATTAACCATAAAGATAGATATGTGATTTTTTTTTCTTAATTATAATTCATAACTACACAACCGAGTGAGTAATAAGCCTATGAAACTGGGCAAAACTTTGTCAAGCCAAAATATTATTTCTGCCACTCTACCCATTGGCAATATAAACTTAGGTTTTTGCTTAATGTTGCCCCCAAGCCAAAATATTGGTTCTGCCACTAAACCCATTGGCAATATAATTTAATTATGAGGCTAGGCTTAATTGTTCTAATGCTATGTCCTAAAACCATAATGTTGACACTTCATC